TACTCCTGCTACTACTACTACTACTACTACTACTACTACTACTGCTACTACTGCTACTGCTGGTACTACTCCTGCTACTACTACTACTACTACTACTACTACTACTACCACTACTACTACTACTACTACGAATCCCCCGGTGCCCTTGACCTAGACCGAGTTAGATTGAGAACCCTCAGCCATCCGGTCTAGACCCTGCTTGCAGGTTCATGGGTAGTTGTAAGTGGGTTATAAGTAGAATGACTATAGGGAGGGTTTAGGGTATAGTTTAAACCCATGTCGGGGTTGGATAGAACCACCCATGAGCCTCCAAGTGGGTCTAAGCCAATCAGAAACCGTTTACGGTTTAGCAACCCGAGCAACTAAGATTAATGCCGTCGAGCAGAACTACAAAACAAAACGTCCTCAACAGAAAAAATCTCAAAACACCAAAATCATGAACTCCCTCAACCAATATATTAAATGTCATAAACCCTTAACCCCAAGTCCCTTGCATTCTTCAACCCTACACCCCTAGGCCCTCAAACGCCTACACCCTCAAACCCAAACCCTAAACCTTATTAAACCCTAAACCCAAACCCTGAGCCCTAAACCCTGAACCCTAAACCTTAAACCCCAAACCCTAAACCTTAAACCCTAAGCCTTAAGCCCTATAAACCCTAAACCGCACGCAGGCCTCTGAGAAGCCGGGAACGCTTGCAGCGCTGGGCGCACTGGCGTGCAACGTGGGAGCCTGCGCCCCGGGTCTAGGGCTCTTATAAGGGTTTAGGGTTTAGGATTTGGGGTTTAGGGTTTAGGGTCTGGGGTTTAGGGGGTTTAGGGTTTAGGTTAATGTTTGGGGTTTGGGGTTTAGGGTTTAGGGTCTGTGGTTTAGGGTATGGGATTGACTGTTTAAGATTTGCTGTTTGGGGTTTAGGATTTGGGGTTCAGGTTTTAGGGTTTGGGGTTTGTACAGCCGGCTTTCGGTTGAGGGTTTATGGGGTGTGGGCAGATGTTGTGTGCTTCAAGAAGCAAAGATGCGCATGATTCTACTACCCTACTACTGATCTGTTTCTACTCCTTCTGCAGTGCTTCTGCTGCTACTGCTGCTGCTGAAATGGGTACTACTACGACTACTTGCCCTAAGTAACACTCCCGACGTCGAGGACGACGACCACGACCAAAAACCCCAGTAAACCCTAAACCCTAAACCCTAAACCCTAAGCCAAACCAAACCACAAGCCTCAAGCCCTAAGCAACTGCAGCCCCGACCCTCTAAAATACCCTTGAAACCCTCAACAAAACCCTGCCTTGCTTAACCCCTACACAACCCCAGACCTCAATACCCTAGGCCCTAAACCCAAACTCTCAACGGTAACCTTTATAGAATCCTACACTCCAACAGCCTTCCTCGGCCGATCCTGCTGGTGGCTCATGGGAATATATAAGTGGGCTTTTGGTTTTCGCCCGTTTGAGGGGACTTATCAAAAGCCATCCCAAGCCCTTTAACTTCTAAGCCCTGAGCCCTAAACCCTAAGCCCTGCACCTTCAACCCTATACCCTAAACCCCTAATGAATTATGATTTAGGGGGACCC